ATTTCTTTACCAAAAAAAAGAAAACACTGATTTGGAAATATGCATCCCATTGTTGATAGCATTATTTATAATAGCCAAGATATGGAAGCAACCTAAGAATCCAACAGATGAATGGATAAAGAAGCTGTGGTGTGTGTATATATGTGTGTATATATATATATATATACATATATACAATGAAATACTACCTAGCCATAAAAAAGAATGAAATTTTGCCTTTGCAGCAATATGAATGGACTTGGAGGGCATTATACTAAATGAAATAAGTCAGACAGAGAAAGAGAAGTACTATATGATATCACTTACATGTAGGATCTGAAAAACACAGCAGACTAGTGAATGTAACAAAGAAGCAGACTCACAGATAATAGAAGATAAGCTGTTGGTTATCTATAATAGGGGTAGGGGGGCAATATAAAGGTAGGGGAGTGAGAGGTACAATCCGTTGGGTGTAAGATAGGCTCAAGGATATATTGTACAACATGGGGAATATGGCCAATATATTGTAATAACTAAATGAAAAATAACCTTTAAAAATTGTAAACAAATTTTTTAAATTAAAAACAAAACATTGGTGCCAGTCAATTTATGTTCTTATAATTTCATTTGAGTTTTTTTTTTTTTTGTAAAGAAAAAAGATCACTTTCAAAATAGTACTGCTCATCGACAATGTACCTGGCCCATTAAGAGCTTAGCTAGAGATGTACAATGAGATTCATGTTTTTTTCATATTTACTAACACAATAGCCATTCTACAGCCCATGGATCAAGAATAATCTCTACTTTCAAGTCTCATTATTTAAGAAATACATTTCTTAAGACTATAGTTGCCATAGATAGTGATTTCTCTCATGACTCGCTTTATTGCAGTGCTCTAAATTCAAAACTACGATAGCTCTGAGGTATGCCTATATAAGTCTAGGTTCATATAGGTATGGCTATGTAAGGTTAGATTCCACCACCCGACTGTCCCTCAACTAAGAAAGAATCACCATATTATCTGAGTTGTTACAAAGTTTTTTATATTGCCTGCTGCTTGCTTACTTACTTATTTTCCACAGTTGCTTTCTTGTGTTTTCAACAACATGGTTTTCTAAGTCCTAAAAAATTTAGTATAGTTATGGTAACTATTATGAGGGATTGTTGTTGTTTAGTCACTAAGTCATGTCCAACTGTTGCAACTGCAAATCTTGAATGCCATAATGAATTATTAAAGATAAAGCAATGTATGTTACTCAGTTATGGAGATAGGAATATGCATTTATGAGATGAATGGAAAAGTAAAAAAATTGTCCTAATAAAACACAAATGGGTATGTGTTATAAACACAGTTTCCAGTAACAACATCATACACATTCAAAACTGTTATAATTTAAATGATATATGCCAAAATGATGATAATGCACTGTCAGCCTATATTAGATAACTTTGATGGCTTTTAGTTAGATAACTAAATATATATGTAAATGAATTGAACAAAATTGTTTTATGAAACAGGAGGGTAGAAATAGAATGGTAAAGAACCCGCCTGCCAGTGCAGGAGAAGTAGGAGATGCAGGTTCCATCCCTGGGTTGGGAAGATCCCCTGGAAGAGGGCATGGCAACCCAATTCAGTATTCTTGCCTGGAGAATCCCATGGGCAGGAGAGCCTGGTGAGCTACAGTCCACAGGGTGAAAAAGATTCGGACACGCCTGAAGCAACTTAGCATGCACTCAAATATATTTTATATAACATTTTAACTAAAGACATTGACTTTCACCAAAATTTACAGATTCAGATCATCTAAAGGCTTTTTTCTTTTCTTGTTGGAAAAATTTAAAGTATAGAAAAATTCCTATAAAATATGGAAGACTATTTTAGTCCCTCAGTATACATCCTTAATTTTATTTCGTAGGACTTTTATTCCCTCCCTTATTTTTCACATTTGTGCTCTGTCTTCTCGTATATGTTTTAAGCTGCCTATCTTTACTCCTAACACATGTATATTGATGGTGGGTTTTAGGTACCATGTATATTACTTTGGTCTCTTTCCAGCTTGTTAATATGTATTTTTGAATGTTGCTTTTTCTAAGAACATTCTACTGTAGATAAAAATGTAAATACACGTACATGTTTTAGAGTGACATAAATATAAAATGCAAGTGTAAACAAAAAGATCTAGTATTTTTAATAATTCTATTCATATTAAAATAGTATGTAGATAAAATTCTAACTTTTGCAGAAATATGTATGTACGTATGTGTTAGTCACTCAGTTGTGTCCGACTCTTTGCAACCGTTTGACTGTAGCCCACCAGGCTTCTCTGTCCATGGGATTCTCCTGGCAAGAATACTGGAGTGGGTTGCCATTCTCTTTTCCAGGGGATCTTCCCAGCCCAGGAGTCGAACCCAGGCCTTCTGCATTGTAGGCAGATTATTTACTGTTTGAGCTTCCAGGGAAGTGCAGGAATATGGGTAGGCTCAAGTTCCAATAGTTTATTTGTAAGCCAGTGCCTTGGGGAAAATATATTCTGAGCTTGTGAGAGGTTCCCAGATGACCTGCTGAAATCAATTTGACTTACTATGTATTTGGAATTATAGAAAATTATATTTTGAGATTTTTTTCTTTGGGCATGTATGTCTGAATCTTGACAATGGGAATAGTTTCTTGTCTTCTGAAGCCCCATCCTCTGAAAGGAAATACTTACCTGGAATCCTTAGCTTCCACCCCCTGAAGGGGACTGTGGCAAGAGGGCTGAAATTCCTTGAGCTTGGTTGTGATAGGAGGGCCTTTCTGAGTCCTTTGGGGGCAGCCTCCATGGGAAACCTCTAAGGTTAAAAACATTCCTTTGGGCACTCCACAGGCAATGTGATAAACCCTACTGGAAGCTAATATAAATAGGTATGTTGAAAATACTAAGCAGCTAAGATCTTCCTACTTCCTGGTTCTCCTTCCCACTTCCTTCTAACACTTTCATAAACCTCTCCCTCCATACCCACTTACCATGGGTTGCCTTGATGAATGGGATTGTCTTAAAGTTCAGAAGTGACTACCTCACTTATTTGTGCAAAAGTTCTGCCTATGTAATAAAATACATGCATCTTGAGACTAAAAAGATGAAATAAAAATAAAAAGAATTCCTTTGGGGATTTTCCTGGAGATCCAGTGGTTAAGACTGCACATTTCGACTGCCATGGCTTGAGTTCAATCTCTGGTCTGGAAACTGAGATCCTGGGCAGTGTGGCCCCCCAAAAAAAATTCCTTTTCTTTCTGATCTAACCTCTTCCTTTACCTCTGATTAATAGTCATTTTCTAGTTTATGGACAATATTTGGTTACTAAGACTTTCATCTTCCTTTTTGCCCCAGCATTCTCTGTCTGCGGGAAGCGAAAGGTGGTACAGATAGGGAACTGAATTCTGTACTTTGTAGGAATTAGCTTATGTACTTACTTTTTTTTTTTTTTTTTGGTGAATAAGCCAAAAGAAATTTTCCATTAGGATGATTAAGTAAAGGTAGCACCCCCAAGCTTCAGGTATACCAGTAGAAAAGCTAGATCCCAGTGCCAATTGACTGTCCCACTGTAGCTCTATGAAAAATGGTTCTTAATTCTTCCCCCAGTTGACCGTTTGTGCACAGCGAAATAGCCATAGGACAGATGGATTTGAGGGTAGACTCTGGAAGGAAGGCGATCCCCTTGTTATTGCTGTCTAGTTTTTCTTGATCTGAAAAAGTATTAAGGAAAGTTGGTTCAGATATTATTGATGGATGGAATTTATATTTTAGGACAGGATTAGTACCTATGGTTCACCACCCCATCCCCAGGCATACTGCTTTGAAATTCTGCTAATTTTTGTTTTCACTTGCCAGATTTACTTTTGCTGTTTTATTTTTACTCCCTGTTCTGTTATACAAGGACAGAGCAGACAACTTTAAAGCTAATAAAAATTCAAGTTCAGTTTTTGTCTCCAAATAGACCAATGATTATTTATGTTGTAGAAGCACCAGCTACCTTAGTAGTTGGCAACAAAGATCCCAAACCACACAAGGAGAGAGCATGGACTTAAAAGCATAATCTGAATGAATTTAGTGTTTTGAACTTGGAAGCAAAACTGTTACTCAGTGTTTTTCTTATAGCTGGATATTGAACTGTGACTTACCATAGGGCAGCAAAGATAGGCCTCAGGGGAATGGTAGTTGTATTACAAGTTACAAATTTATGGCTAAACGCTTTGAGGAAAAATGTCTGATTAAAGGAGATATTGAGAAATATGACCTTCTGGTTAACTATTTGTTTTGAAAGGCAGACCTGAATTTTTTTTCCCTCAATTCTACAATTTCTCTCATAGTTAATCTGTGAGAATTACTATTAACAACTTTTATTTTTTTAAGAGACAGTGAGGTTCAGCATAGATAGTGGACATAGTGTCTTTACATTGCTGCACAAGGAAATGAGTGTGTTTATATCGTAAAAAAAAGTTACTGGGAGCACATAAACAAGGATTATTTATATTTGGAGTGCAACCCTGTCTTATTCACATATTATGTAATGTGATACATTAACTCTCTATTTGGATTATAAGCTTTTTGGCATGAACTTTATTTATACCAGTGCTGTCCACTGGGCATGTAATGTGAGCCATGTAGGTAATTTAAAATTTTCTAGTAGCTGCAATATATATTTTTTTTAACCCAATATAATCTAAATATATTTCAACAAGTAATCAATATAAAGACTGAGATATTTTGCACCCTTTTTTCCATACTACATTTTCAGAACCCATTGTTATTTTATTCTTAGTGCACATCTCAATTCAGGCTAGCCACATTTTGAGCACTTGAAAGCCATAGGTAGCAAGTGGCTACTGTATTAGTGCTGTCTTACACTCCTATAGTTTAGTGTTAGGAACACAGTTGTTGCTTTGTGTGAGAATGTGTGTGTTTGTTATTTTAGCTACAGATTTCTCTAGATGAATAAAGTATAAAAGATTTTAAAATGCCTATCTTTTCTTTCTCTTTAAGGCCCTTCCTTCTTCCATGATTATAGTAGCAGTTTATTGTCCTGTGATAGCTGCTGTTTTCATTGTTCTGAAGATGGTCAACTATCGACTCCACAGAGCCCTGGATGCTGGAGAGATTGTAGAGAGGAATGCAAATGAGTTCACAGATCAGCGAGCCAAAACTGAGCAAGGCAACTGTTCAACACGGAGAAAAGATAGCAATGGCCCGAGGTAAAGAAACCCGTGATGCCTGTGTCCAGTGATGTGATTATTGTGTCATGCCTGTTCTGTTCACCTGGCGTAACCACTGTTAGTACAGTGACACGGATGATTGTCACGTTGAGACAATAGCGAAGCTGACTGTCTGGAGATAAATCAGTATCCTTGGCCTTACTAATGAACAGCATGTTTGAATGATAATCATAAGTATAATAATTAAACATACCAAAGACCAAAACCAATGAAAAACAGGTTAAAAAAATAATAAAACATGACTTTATAAATCAAAGCATTTTTTACTTATACATATATGTAGTTACATGTATGTACATATACTTAATATACTTTTACATAAAATGTATATTCATCTTAAGCAAGCTGTGATAATATTTACTTGACACTTAAAATGTGCAGTTTTCCCTTTATTATAAGTTTTTTTTTCAATTTTATATTCTCACCTTAGAAACTTAGCTGTTCCTTCCCTAGACCTTGGCATGACTGATTTCCTATGTAGTGGTGACCCCCTCCTAGAGGCTTTTTTTTCCTGTCTCAGCTAAAATATTCTTCCTGCTGTTCTCAGTCACATTCTACCCTGTTACCTCAGCCTCAACCAGAGGAATTTAGTTATTATAGTCAAAAGGTTGTGACTTTATAGAAATAATAGGTATCCCTATTGTAACTCTTCAATTGTTGCTTTATGAGCATACAACATTTTTAAGCTCATGCAGTCCTCAGAAGCAATTCTATGAGATGGATACTGTAATTATCTCTGACTTACAGATGTGGAAAGTAAGGTGAGAAGGATCAAATAATCCAGGCATTCAGGCTCTGGAGTCCAAGCTTTTAACCACTCTGCCATGTTTCCACTCAGTATAATATATGATGATATAAATAATGCCATTAAAAGGGGGTATTCATCTTCTATGACAGGGCAATATTTCTGTGTCATCTCCAGTGCACTTGAAGCCTTTGTCCTTTTTCAGTTACATTTTCCTTCATCCTAACATGATTATCCCATTTGTTCATTGAACAGATACTTTACTCTTGTGATAATTTTATTCATAGCATAAATCACTATCTGAAATAATCTTACATAATCATTTGTTTGTACTTATAAGTTTTTTGAAGGCAGTGCCTTGTTTTTCTTACAAACTATTTTATTCCTACGTTCTTGAACAGTGTCTTGTACTAATAGGTACTCAGGAAATGTTTCAAATTAGTGAAAACATTTTTTTCCTGTGATGGTATTTTTTTTCCCCCCGTGATAGTATTGTTAATGACTGCACAGTTTTCCATTCTGTTGGTATACAGTAGCTTAATTTAGCTATCTTATTTTTAGTTATTTAAGTTATTTTCTAATTTAAATTCAAGTATTAGATCACTGTGATGTTTAAATTTTAAATGAATAAAATTTTTTTTATCATGATTTAGCAGAAGTAGAATTGCTTGAAAACTATGCCCCATTTTTTAATATATATTGCCAAAGTCCAAAGATTTTTACCTTTTAATTATTGTGATCAGCAGTTGGAGGGTTCCCCCCCCCCCCCCACTTTTGGCAGCACTGATTATTTAGTATTTTCACAAGCTGGTAAATATCTCATTGTTTAATATTTTCAGTTTTCAGATTACTAGTGAAATGGAGACATTTTTCTTATGTTGTTCCATTTAAATTTGTTATTTTGTGAGTTGTGTGTTTTTCTATCAGTGGTTAGTTTTTTACTGTTGGTTTGGAGAAGATACTTATGAAGGATATCAACTCATCTTTTATGTCAAATACTTTTCCTCACTTTATGGCATTTTATATATGTATTTATATGCCACAGTTAATTTTTGTATGATCTGTTCTATGCAAGTTTACTAGTTCTATCTTTGATATCAAGTTTTGTAAGATATTTTTCCTTACCCAAATTATGTAAATTTTCATCTGAGTGTACTTTTAGTATTTTTACCATTTTATCTTTTATTTTTAACTTATAGTCAATCTGAAGAACATTTCTAACTTTTTTTTCAGATTTGTTAGGACCAACAACATTGAATGGATAATGCATCATTATGTCCATTTCTGGGCTCTGTTTTCTGCCCCACTGATCTCTCTTTGCCTGTAATACACTGGCTTTCTAATATGCTTAATACTTAGCAGTGTGAATCCCTCTTCACTATTTTAATATTATCTTAGTTATTCTCATGCATATGATTAGTTTTTTGTGAGATGTTCCCTTGTCTGCTCATCCTTCAGAAAAATCACAGTAGAATTTTGATGATAATTGTATTAAATTTGGAGGGAACTCAGCTTTTAAAATGGAAAGCCTCACTCAGAGACGTTGTGTGTTCGTTGTACAGTCACTCAGCCTTGTCTGGCTCTTTTATGGACTGCAGCATGCCAGACCTGCCTGTCCCTCACCATCTCCCAGAGTTTGCACAAGTTCATGTCCAGTGCGTCAGTGATGCCATCCAGCCATCTCATCCTCTAATGCCCTCTTCTCCTTTTGCCTTTAATCTTTCCCAGCATCAGGGATTTTTCCAGTGAGTCAGCTGTTCACATCATGTGACCAAAATACTGGAGCTTAGCTTCAGCATCAGTCTTTCGAATGAATATTCAGGACTGATTTTCTTTAGAATTGACTGGTTTGTTCTCCTTGCTGTCCAAGGGACTCCCTTGTATATGTATATGGTGTATGTGCATAAATTTTTTAGTGGATTCTGCATAGTACTTAAGTCTATTCTGTTTCTGTTATGAAATGCATACCCCCATTTAGTGAGTAAACAAACATAATGTAGATTCTGCACTTAATCTGCCAGTGTCTTGAATCAGTTCCTGATAGTATGACCTTGGGGGAGTTAAGCTTTTATGCCTTGGCTTCCTCATCTGGATGATGAGACAAATAATAGTACTGTCTCTAGGGTTCAGTTCAGTCCAGTCCCTCAGTCGTGTCTGACTCTGTGACCCCATGAACCGCAGCTCGCCAGGCCTCCCTTTTCCATCACTAACTCCTGGAGTTTACCCAGACTCATGTCCATTGAGTTGGTGATGCCATCCAACCATCTCATCCTCTGTCATTCCCTTCTCCTCCTGCCCTCAATCTTTCCCAGCATCAGGGCCTTTTCAGATGAGTCAGCTCTTCGCATCAGGTCGCCAAAGTATTGGAGTTTCAGCTTCAACATCAGTCCTTCCAATGAACACCCAGGACTGATCTCCTTTAGGATGGACTGGTTGGATCTCCTTGCAGTCCAAGGGACTCTCAAGAGTCTTCTCCAACACAACAGTTCAAAAGCATCAATTCTTCGGTGCTCAGCTTTCTTTATAGTCCAACTCTCACATCCATACATGACTACTAGAAAAACCATAGCCTTGACTAGATGGACCTTTGTTGGCAAAGTAATGTCTCTGCTTTTTAATATGCTGTCTAGAGTGGTCATAACTTTCCTTCCAAGGAGTAAGTGTCTTTTAATTTCATGGCTGCAGTCACCATCTGCAGTGATTTTGGAGCCCAAGAAAATAAAGTCAGCCACTGTTTTCACTGTTACCCCATCTATTTGCCATGAGGTGATGGAATCGGATGCCATGATCTTAGTTTTCTGAATGTTGAGCTTTAAGCCAACTTCTTCACTCTCCTCTTTCACTTTCATCAAGAGGCTCTGTAGTTCATCTTCACTTTCTGCCATAAGGGTGGTGTCATCTGCATATCTGAGGTTATTGATATTTCTCCCAGCAATTTTGATTCCAGCTTGTGCTTCTTCCAGACCAGCGTTTCTCATGATGTACTCTGCATATAAGTTAAATAAGCAGGGTGACAATATACAGCCTTGACATACTGCTTTTCCTATTTGGAACCAGTCTGTTGTTCCATGTCCAGTTCTAACTGTTGCTTCCTGACCTGCATACAGGTTTCTCAAGAGGCAGGTCAGGTGGTCTGGTATGCCCATCTCTTTCAGAATTTTCCACAGTTTATTGTGATCCACACAGTCAAAGGCTTTGACATAGTCAGTAAAGCAGAAATAGATGTTTTTCTGGAACTCTCTTGCTTTTTCAGTGATCTAGCAAATGTTGGCAATTTGATCTCTGGTTCCTCTGCCTTTTCTAAAACCAGCTTGAACATCTGGAAGTTCACAGTTCATGTATTGCTGAAGCCTGGCTTGGAGAATTTTGAGCATTACTTTACTAGCGTGTGAGATGAGTGCAATTGTGCAGTAGTTTGAGCATTCTTTGGCATTGCCTTTCTTTGGAATTGGAATGAAAACTGATCTTTTCCAATCCTGTGGCCACTGCTGAGTTTTCCAAATTTGCTGACATATTGAGTACAGCACTTTAACAGCATCATCTTTTAGGATTATGAGGCTAAATGAGATCATATATGCAAAGCATTTAGAACTATTTCTGATACATGGAACAACAGTAATTGCTAGCTCTTATTAGTTCTGGACAGGTTGTATATGACTAGTTCTGGATAATTGTATATGTATAATTTAGAGAATAATAACTGAGTGAATACTTACCCACCACACAACTTAAGTAATAGGACATTATACAAATACAAGACTTTCTCATTTCATTCCACCCTTTTCCTTTCAGGAGTGATCTTTATCTTAAACTTTTTATTAATAATTCCCTTGGTTTACTGTTATATAGTCTTTGTAGATAGTCCTAAACCTATTATTACTTAATTTTGTCTGCCTAAGACATCCTAAAGACAGTCATATTGTTTGTATTTCTCTGTGAAGGGCTTTTTTTTTTTTTTTGCAGAATTTCATATTTTGTAGACTTACCCATGTTGATGCTTCCAGCTATTATTTGTGTTTGCACTTGTATAGTCTACCACTGTTGGAGTAGACTACAGTTTATCCATTTTTCTGTTGATAGTCATTCAGATTATTTCTAGGTTTTTTGCTCAGATAATGCATTATCATATATGTTTCTTTGGCCACATGTGTATATCTAATATATGTAAGCTGGTTCACAGGGCATTTTCACATTCAGTTTTATTAGGTAATTCCAAGCTGTTTGCCAAAACAGT